TATATGAATATGCACGTATATGTGTGTGTGTATGTATATGTATGTGTTATAAAGTATATGTGGAAACTGATCAGAATTACATTTCACCTTTGTAAATGCATTAATGACACTATGTAAAAGACACATCGAACACTTTTTGTAGGGCATACGTATATCTGTGTATCTATGTATTTACGTATGTAGCATAGCTTAGCATTTTAAATGCAATACAATCACCTCCTGTGGTTGATTGTTCAATAAATCCATGAACTATAGGTTTAACAAATCTCTAACCCTGTCCATGGAGAACAGAAGAAATTGTATATATGCTGGTTAGCATTGTTAATGTGTGGCCACGTCTGTGGTAGAAAACAATAATAATAATAAAAAAATACGTCTTTTCCCTCCCCATCCACCCCCCCGACCCCCCATCCCCCAGACCCCCCACCAGACCCTCCCCATCCCCCATCAGACCGTCCTCTCCCCCTCCCTAAACTCACCTCTCCCCACTCCCTAAACTCCCACCCTAAACTCCCACCTCTCCCCCCTCTCTAAACTCCCACCTCTCCCCCTCCCTAAACTCCCACCTCTCCCCCCCTCTCTAAACTCCCACCTCTCCCCCCCTCTCTAACTCCCACCTCTCCCCCTCCCCTAAACTCCCACCTCTCCCCTTCTCCCTAAACTCCCACCTCTCCCCCCCTCTCTCAACTCCCACCTCTCCCCCCCTCCCTAAACTCCCACCTCTCCCCCTCCCTAAACTCCCACCTCTCCCCTTCTCCCTAAACTCCCACCTCTCCCCCCCTCTCTAAACTCCCACCTCTCCCCCCCCCCCCCTCCCTAAACCCCCCTCCCCCTCCCTAAACTCCCACCTCTCCCCCCCTCCCTAAACTCCCACCTCTCCCCCCCTCCCTAAACTCCCACCTCTCCCCCCCCTCTCTAAACTCCCACTCACCCCCCACTCACTCTCCCTTTCCCTGCTCTTCCCTTCACAAAATATAACATTTTGAAAACATGAAACTAATTTCTGTGTTGAAGAAATATTTTGTTGCTAATGATGACAAAGTCTTCATTCATCTGAACAAATATTTCACACCTGATAGAATTAATTCCGTGAGAATCGAACATCTATTTGTCTATCCATTCTATTTATTCATCTATTTCTCCAGATATTCATCCAGTTATCTATCACTCTATCTATCCAACTATATGTCAGTCTTCCTATCCATCTATCCAAATATATGTCCATCTATTAAACCGTCTACCTATTCATTTATCCATCCATCTGTCCAAATCTTTGTCCATCTATCCCTCTGTCTGTGCATCCATCCATCCATTCATCCGTCTGTGCATCCATCTATCCATCCGTCCGTGTATCCATCTACCATCAATTTATCCATCTATCTAGCTATATGTTAATCCATGCACCTTTTCATCTTTCTATCTATATATCTATCCATATACCAATCCAACTATCTATCAGTCTGTCTATTCGTCTATCTATCTATATATCTATCCATCTATATATTCATCTATATACATCTATCTGTCTATCTATCTCTTTATTTATCTACCGTCTGCCTCTTTGTCTCTGTCTTTATCTGTGTCTCTGCCTCGCTGTGCCTCTATCTCTCTACCTAGAGGTTACCTTGAGGTGATTTCGGGGCTTAGTGACCCCGCGGCCCGGTCGTCGACCAGGCCTCTATTTCTCTGTGTCTGTCTGTCTGTTTCCGTGTCATTTTCTTGATTTCTTAGTCACGGTCTTTCTCTCTCTAATACAAAAATAGAATAGTTTAGTGTGAGCTCAGGGAGCGCGAGGAGCTCAGTGGTGTGCGCCACTAGACAAACAATAGTCACCCCTCACTCTGATAAAGCGCCGCGGCGTGTGGTAACCTGTGAAGGTGTGGGGGGATTCGTCTGTTTGTGTTGGTACTGGGCATGGTGCTGTCTTGCAACCTGTCCTCTTAAAAAGAATGTCGCTTTTGGCCGTTTGCCCGTATGGCCGAATTTGGACGTAATTTGAAAATGAACAAAAAATGAAAATAAATTTGGGATTTTTTTTTCAACAACAGTAAGTTAAGGGTCCTCTGATAGGTTAGGTGGGCGGGAAATTTTCATCAGGGTGTTTATGTTAATGTTCCCATCATCAGTGTGTGATGGTGCATGGGTCGTGCCGTATAGCCCGACCCGCACTACTTGGTCTGGTATGCAAGGAGAGATTTGTCTAACAGGCCGAATGATTTTCGTATTTTCACATATTTCTTTCCAGGTTTTTATTTTCTATGAATAATAATCTATTATATTAGGAAAATGAATTACTGACTTAGTTATGTTAGCTTAGGATAGGTTTGGTTATGTTAGCTTAGGATAGGTTTGGTTATGTTAGCTTAGGATGGGTTTGGTTATGTTAGCTTAGGATAGGTTTGGTTATGTTAGCTTAGGATAGGTTTGGTTTGGTTAGGTAAAGTTTTTGTTTATTTTGACTCAAATAACATAAAATTGCAATCCTATATAACACCATGAAAACATTATTATATAAGAACAAATGGAAATATTCAATATTACCAAAAAATTCTGCTTGTTAGCCAACTGTAGCTAATAGGTTCGACAGAAACACACACTATATATATATATATATATATATATATATATATATATATATATATATATATATATATATATATATATATATATATATATATATATATTATTATTAAATATGACCGAAAAAGTAATATTAATAATTCTAACATGAATTTTCTCAATCTTTCGTACATTTCTTTTCACTGTTGGAGGTAATTCAAAAATCAATTCTCCAAAATTCATTTTTATTTCTAGTCTGACGCGACACGAGCGCGTTTCGTAAAACTTATTACATTTTCAAAGACTTTAGTTTACAAATACACAACTGAATAGAACTTACGCATCTCCGATTTTGTTTATATCTACATTTGAGTGAGGTGGATGGGGTGAGGTGGCATTAATAGGGTATTAATTTCATCAACACAAGACAGAACACGAAACAATGGGTATTGAAATGGAAGTGATTGTAGAAAGCCTATTGGAATTATTAATCTTACTTTTTCGGTCATATTTAATAATATATGTCTACAGGAAAGACTGTTACCAAAATATACTATATATATATATATATATATATATATATATATATATATATATATATATATATATATATATATATATATATATATATATATATATTTTTTTTTTTTTTTAAAGTTTGTGAGGGTACCACCTCTGGTGCCAATGTGGGGACCCATAGCCTCGGAGAAGAAAATAAAAAGTATTCAGAGGAGACCTTGTGGTTTCTCACTGAACACTAATATTATCTTCTCCTACCACCCCCCATTCTTTTGTATGTACACATATATATTTACTTTATTTGAACTTTGTTACAAAAAAGGAGTTACATATGGGTTACAAAGATGGTTGTCATAGGTTGTCGAGTTCCTCCAGCTCCTCAGATGGCGGGCAGGAACCCTGGATGCAGTGCGCATTTCCCCTCTGTATCGCCACACTGAGGCGCTGGAAAAGAAAGCTTGCAGCTCTCGGGTCCCTTGTTGTTTCAATGAGCCTAGAACCCAGTTCCTTCAAAAAACTGGTAGCACTTTTACCCCAGGCGCCGAGCGTCTCAGAAGCAATGGGGACAATATATATATATATATATATATATATATATATATATATATATATATATATATATATATATATATATATATATATATATATATATATATATATATATATATATATATATATATATAGACAATAGAGTGGCTAGTGTGGCTGGTGTTGTGCCAATCTTACAGTAAATAAAAAAGCAAAGTAAAGTATAATAGACCGCTTGTGAACTCTAGTGTGTGAAAGCTGCTGGTAAAACAGAGACTAAACATTTAAGACATTTAATATAACAAAAATGACTTTAATAACAAACAAATCAAAGCCCCTAATCCACTTGGCGAAAACCACATAATATATACAAGGAATATAAACACAGGTGAGTTATTACGTTAAAGAAAAGAGACGTGCAAGTTAATACATTATACATAAGCTGTATGCATCTACTGTCTCCTGGAACGGCGACAGTGTATGTTACTGCTCGAGAGCACAAAGTATATTCTGAGGACTGGATTGATTGACTGATAAAGATTAAGCCACCCAAGAGGTGGCACGGGCATGAATAGCCCGTAAGAGGAGTGGACGTCGGTGACCTCCTTATATATGCAGGCCAGGCCAGCGTAGATGGCGCTGATGTCGTGGGTAACCATCGGTCGGCAATTAAACAAGCAATTAGGCTGATCGACTGGCGAGTGGCGCTGGGCCTCTTCAGGTGTCCAGGTGTCTTGAGTACTAAGGGGGGGGGGGAGGGGGGGGGGGGGGGGAGGGGGGGGGGGGGGGGGGGGGGGGGGGAGGGGGGGGGGGGGAGGCTTTTGGGGGGGGGTGTCTTGTCTAGATATGTTGGTGAACTGAGGCTATTAAGCAGGGCACGTTTTGTTGTTGGCCCCAGCATCGTTGATGTTGATGGTCCTTATGATGGAGCATACAGATATGTTGGTGAATGGCGGTAAAGGGAACAGGCATGGGACCCTCTGCCTAAGCAGGAGATTACCGTAACAATAGGCATTGAGTATCCCACCCTCCAGCATGGCCACATTATGCTACCCTGGCATGGCACCCAGCATGGCCACATGATAGGGTAGATAAAGACAGTCTTTAACACAAGGGGAACACGCACAAGGGGACACAGGTGGAAACTGAGTGTCCAAATGAGCCACAGAGATATTAGAAAGAACTTTTTAGTGTCAGAGGGTTGACAAATGGAATGCATTAGGAAGTGATGTGGTGGAGGCTGACTCCATACACAGTTTCAGTGTAGATATGACAGAGCCCGATAGGCTCATGAATCTGTACACCTGTTGATTGACGGTTGAGAGGCGGGACCAAAGAGCCAGAGCTCAACCCCCGCAAACACAACTAGGTGAGTACAACTAGGTGAGTACATTATGCCACCCTCCAGGCATGGCCACCCTCCAGGCATGGCCACCCTCCAGGCTTGGCCACATGCCAGCCTCCAGGCATGGCCACATTATGCTACTCTCCAGCATGGCCACATTATGCTACCCTCCAGCATGGCCACATTATGCCACCCTCCAGCATGGCCACATTATGCCACCCTCCAGCATTACCACATTATGCCACCCTCCAGCATTACCACATTATGCCACCCTCCAGCATGGCCACATTATGCCACCCTCAAGTCATGGCCACATGCCACCCCCCAGGGATGGCCACAATATGCCACCCTCCAGCATGGCCAATATTATGCCACCCTCCAGCATGGCCACATTATGCCACCCTCCAGCATGGCCACATTATGCCACCCTCCAGCATGGCCACATTATGCCACCCTCCAGCATGGCCACATTATGCCACCCTCCAGGCATGGCCATATTATGCCACCCTCCAGCATGGCCACATTATGCCACCCTCCAGCATTACCACATTATGCCACCCTCCAGCATGGCCACATTATGCCACCCTCAAGTCATGGCCACATTATGCCACCCTCGAGCATGGCCACATTATCCCACCCTCCAGCATGGCCACATTATCCCACCCTCCAGCATGGCCACATTATGCCACCCTCCAGCATGGCCACATTATGCCACCCTCCAGCATGGCCACATTATCCCACCCTCCAGCATGGCCACATTATGCCACCCTCCAGCATGGCCACATTATGCCACCCTCCAGCATGGCCACATTATGCCACCCTCCAGCATGGCCACATTATGCCACCCTCCAGCATGGCCACATTATGCCACCCTCCAGCATGGCCACATTATGCCACCCTAAAGCATGGCCACATTATGCCACCCTCCAGTCATGGCCACATTATGCCACCCTCCAGCATGGCCACATTATCCCACCCTCCAGCATGGCCACATTATGCCACCCTCCAGCATGGCCACATTATCCCACCCTCCAGCATGGCCACATTATGCCACCCTCCAGCATGGCCACATTATGCCACCCTCCAGCATGGCCACATTATGCCACCCTCCAGCATGGCCACATTATGCCACCCTCCAGCATGGCCACATTATGCCACCCTCCAGCATGGCCACATTATCCCACCCTCCAGCATGGCCACATTATGCCACCCTCCAGCATGGCCACATTATGCCACCCTCCAGCATGGCCACATTATCCCACCCTCCAGCATGGCCACAGTGCCATAACTTCCGCTGTTCCAGGTAACATGTAAACACCAGAGTTGGTAAGCGAAGCGGGACACTTTAGGCCGCATAAATAGAATACAAAGCAATAAGCCAGTGTTAGCGGCCCTCTAGTGGACGTGGAAGCCACTAGAGGCGCATCATATATGACTGGCGTATATGTTATATAATCCACTTTATATTTGGAAATTGTCTGAACATTGAAAGTTTAGTTTCAAAATATCATACGTCCTTAAGGGAGATATACTTTATTTATGAATACATATTAATTAAGAATTTACATGTACGTTAACATATCTGTTTCTCATTTTTTTTTAGTAACTTTCGTCTTTTATAAGTGACATGTCAGATCATATAAGACTCTAGGATTTCTATTTGTTAATGCGCCCAAAAGGATATTTTTTTTTTTTTCTACCACAGACGAGGCCTCGCATTTACAATGCTAACCAGCATATATACATTTTCTTCTGTCGTCCATGGACAAGGGTTAAAGATCTGTTTAGCATGTAGCTCAGTGATTAACAGATCTCTAATCCTGTCTCCGGATGTGTTGATATGATTGCTCGTACATTGTGCGTCTGCAGGAATATTGATTAATTTACAGAAATAATGATAAAGTTACAGTAATAACTTTCCAGGTTGTTAACAACAGTCAGTTGTGCAGGCGATGAGTCACAATAACGTGGCTGAAGTCGATTGTGGGAATCGACTTGAGAATGGTCCAGGACGGACCGAAACGTCGTCGTCCCTTCATTTTCTAGTGTGTGAATTGGTCAACAACAATCAGTTGTATCCTGAACACCACAGGGGGTTGGGAGGGTTGTGGGTTGGGGGGGGTTGTGGGGGGTTGTGGGGGATGTACCTGAAGGTGATGAGAGTAAGCGGCTCCTGGCGCACATCTACTCTCATGATATCTTCAAGCTATACCAGAGGATAGCGTCAATGCCGCTAATTGTACATATGTTTTACTGTGAACATGAAAGCAAATGTATATCGCATCAATGAAACATACAACCGCTGTATCTAGTGGGCCACTTTGGGAAGTAACGCTGCCCTAAAAAAGCGCCAGATTATGGCTGCTTCACAGGTACCAAAAATACCGCTGTTATAAGACTTTACAAGAAAAGCCTGATGTACAAGCTGTATTTTGTGTGGCACCTCATGTGAAAGTCTGTCCATCACGGACAGACTAGCATCATCATGCTAGAAATATTATAGTCAAATGAATAACAAAACTAGCTTGTTTATGGAGAGAACCGCACCTTAGTGCCAGGACAATTTAACCACTCTGCAACTCGCAAATCAGATCTTTAAATGAATACCACCACATAAATTCGGTATCTGTCCATAGTTTTATCTAAAGATACTGCAGAAAATTAAGATAGGGTTGTGCATGTATATTGACAAGCAAGCCTAATGTATCTGAGCCAATGACGTGCATCTTAACTCCCCCACAAGCAAGCCAGGCTTCCAGTAGGCTGCAAAATTCGCAAAATCTACGACCAGTTCCTTCCGTTTAAATTTCACCACTACTTCCCCCCGACAAGAATAAACGATAAAAAAGTCAGTGCATGGTAATCAGATAGATGTTCCTTCTGTACAGATAAAGCAATATAATCCAAAATACTTCTTTTTCTTCTTGATGGAAATGTGCAGTTTGCATGAAGGATTTATCCTCCCGGTGACTGCACCACAACAAATGTTGGGAGACGCGTTAATGTTGACAATGACAAGGTATCGAAAGCGTTTGTTGTGTTGTGGTGGAGACAGAGGAGCGGTGACTAAACAGAGGTGTGTGTTTGAGGAAGACTTATCGCACTGTGGGGCGGGATGTTGTGTTTATGGCGTCAGCTGATCCTTGGTGCTGCAGCGAGGCAGTTGTTTTCTGTGTTGGGTTGTCGGTGGCGCCAGGTATAAATGTGGCCCAATTTGTTGGTCGACTGGAGATATTTAGCCAGTGCTTGGACTATTTGATATTTTTCCTGTGACAAGAGGTCACCTACTCCTAAAAGTGCTCGATGGTGTTAAAAGGTATTTTAAGTTCAATAAATACTTGTTTGAGGTTTACTCTGGCACTATGATGTCGGAAGCAGTGAAGGAGAGGGTGTTCGATTCTCTCAGGCACATGACAGTGGATGCAGAGTTCGTTGATGTCTGTTCGGTTTTTAGAGCTGTGTGCTGCCAGTTTGGTGTGTTCCAGCCTTAATCTGGTCATCGTTACATCAATTTCTCTGCTTTTATATCTGACATATTTCCAAGTTTCCCATTTATTTTTAATGGACCCATAATACTGAGCCAATATCTGAGCCAATGACGTGCATCTTAACTCCCCCACAAGCAAGCCAGGATTCCAGGTTTTGCAAAATTCGCATGATCATGACCTGATCACCATGATCATGGTGATCATGACTTTTTCCATTTCATTACAAAATCTTGAGTGATGGTATCTTTGAAGGCTCCTTTACGTGCAACATAAGATATTGGATGATGGGTAATGTGAGGCGTATTGTGCAAGGCTTTGACTAGTTGATCTACAAGTTCATTATGGAGAACACCACAATGCGCTGGGACCCAGTGGATAGAGGTGTCGTAACCGTTCAGTCGATATTCATGAAGAAGTTGAAGACATGGGTAAACAAACTCATTGCACGTTGTTGAAGAGTACATAATTGCTGAATCGCGCTCTTGGAGTCACTACAGATTGTATATATCCCAACTGGTAATGTTGTGATTATTTGGAGAGCTTGATATAAGGCATATAATTCAGCAATGAAAATAGATAGTTGGTTTGGTAACCGCCATCGCTGCTGGAGATGGTACTCCGGTATCCATTCAGCGCTAGTGACCGAGGGTCCGTTGTTCATGATAATGCGAGATCCATCTGTATAAATCGTTGTGGTATTTGGGTAGCAATTTTTCATTATTGAGACAAAGACTGAGGCTATGGCTGAGTTTGGTGCAGACTTTGGAATGTTTTCTTCCAGCTGTATTGATGTATTAGGAGTTGTATAAAGCCAAGGTGGAATGAGGGGAGGGGGCAGTAGGTTCGGTTTCAAGAGTATTGGAGTAAAGTGAGGTGTATATTGAGAGTATTTGTAGCTCGTGGGAGGAAAGATTGTGAATGATTGGTGGGAATGTTTATCTGTATGGGTGTGTCTGGTGAGGAGTAGTACAGAGTAACAGATAGTTGGCACACATTATGTCTTGTCTGGTGGCTAGGCTTGTGAGGCCCGTTTCCCCGTGTAGGCCGAGGATAGGAGTGGAACGCATTGTGCCACATATAAGACGCTTGGCATTGTTTTAAATGACCTCTAGGCTCTGTTGGTTACTAGACGCAGCCGACGCATATGCTTGGCAACAATAGTCTAGTTGACTGCGAATGTAAGTTGTATAGAAACGGAGCAAAATTTTACGGTGTGCTCCCCAGGTGGTGCCAGTGAGGGCTTTAAGATGACGAGTCGTGGGTGTGTCGTCTGCTTAAGGTGTTGAATGTGTACTTTCCAGGTAAGTAAGGGAGAGTCTAGATGCATGCCAAAATATTTATGTTCTCGTAACTGTTGGATGGGAGTGTTGTGTATTGTGAGGGTGGGTAGGTGAACAAGTCTTTTTTTAGTGAAAATCTGATAACAGGTTTTGGTAGTTCTAATTTGAAGGCGCCATTGTTGAGTCCAATATATGAGGTGGTCAAGTGCTGTTTGCATTGTTGAGACTGTATTAGGTAGGGCATTGTCTGAATAATACAATGTTAAATTGCCAGTGTGCTCCGAGAGGTGAACAGGATGGGTGTTAGGTAATTCTGCTAAGAATGCAGCAAAAAGGGTTGGGCTTAGTATGGAGCCTTGTGGGACTCCCGTTTGTATTGGAATACTATTTGAAAACTCGCCTTGAATATGTACTTTTAGAGATCCTGTTCGTAAGATAGTACTGTAGCCATAGGCGTAATCATCCCTGTACGCCTAAACGTGCAAGCTTTGCCAAGAGGCAAGTATGAGGAATGCTATCAAAAGCTCCATTAAATTCTAGGTAGAGAACAATACAAAACTTACTGCTTCTAAGTGAGGTGCGGATTTCATGTTCAAGGCAGAGTATTGATTAAGTGTGGAGTATTGCGGTCGAACGCCAGCTTGAATTGGCGGTAAAATATTATTATACTCAAGGTACCATTGGAGGCGAGTGTGTACTAGTCTTTCCGTGACTTTACTGAGACATGATAGTAAGAATCCGAAATACACATTGGCTTTATTGGGTTATTGGAATTCTTTCGGCAATTGGCTTGTAACCCAAATGTTCTCACTTCAAATAAAAATCTCCCCAATGAATAGATAGGAGCACAACAGTATTCTATACCAAAACAAAATCCCCAGATGTGTACAAAAAAGTGTAGCTATTGTCTGCAAACTAAAAAAAAGATAACTTTAACGAGATAAATGACCAAAAATAAATTAATCTATATAAATAAAAATGGAAATGTTCGTTTGTGCATAATCGCTAATCTTCAAAAGTTCTTCTTCTGATTGCTTTCAAATTTTCACACAACGTTCCATTCGAATCCAAGCAGGTATTTATATATGATCTATATAGATGTCGCGTCTATGACGGTAAAAAAACATGCTTTTTCTGAAAAACTGTGTTTTTCATCTGTTTTCCATGTGAGGGAAATGTTCGGAACCTCTTTACCGATTGGTTTGAAATTTTGACACAATGTTGCATTTGAATAGGCGTGTCTTTTTATATATCTACTATATACATGCCTCACCTGTGACAGGAAAAAAACATGCATTTTTGAGGAACAGCGCCATCTGTTGGATGTAAGAGAAACACCACCTTTAATCTCCGAACGTTCTTCACCGATTGCTTTGAAATTTTGACACATCGTTGCATTCGAATAGGCGCGTCTTTTTATAAACCTTTTTCTATAAACTTTTCTTTTCTATAAACATATAGATGCCACCCCTGTGACAGGTAAAAAACATGTGTTTTTCGAAAACAGCGCCATCTGTTGC